TTTTTTTCTGATAGAAATCTTGAAAGACTCCACTATAAGGTGTTGGTCGTTGATCCTTTTATCAATAAAAGAAAAAAAGAAAATGATAGAATAAGCCAGTTCCATCCTAACCCAAGTTCATTATTTATCATGATTCAGAGCTTGTGCATAGTTCAGAGATAAATGAAGTAAGGTATCAATTTTCTCTGAATTTTGGAAGTTATTTATTGGCATAGGAACTCGATTCTCAAAAAAAGTGCCAAAATATCTATATCTACATTGAAAGTTCATTAAAAAGTTGCTTCCGGCTGCAGAGGTCAACCTCCTATAGTAGTCTAATTTCCTGCAGAAAAGCCACGAAGATTCTATTGAGCACGGGATCAACCTCGCTGTTCGCGCCGCGCAGCCTAGAGAAATGCAGTATGTATAGCTGAGAGAATAATGCACTCTAATGGAGCACTGCGACCATCGCGCGTTCCTCCTGTGTCCCATAGAGCTTTCGGGTGCGTATCTACAGGCAATTAGGGTACTTAAGAGAAACATCAGGAGGGTAATCACTTTATCAAGAACTCTCCTTTACAAGATCATTCAAATGTGGTCGTTAAAAAAGAGAAAGAAGTTTGCTCCATTAAATACAACCGACCTCTCCAGCTGCTTGATATGCCAAAATGGGATCCAGGATTGGACGGGGTATTTCGTGCACGTCCCATATCAGAGCTTGGGCATCGTCGGCTAAAGCGTTCCACTAGCATTTAAACATAAGAAAAAAAAATTTTCAAACCTGCTGTACAAATATGAGTACTTGAGTGAGGTGCCCATGAGATTCCATTCACTGGAGCACGGTGATTTGCTAGTCTTGCTACAGGATGACATGGAATGCGCATGTCCAAGATGATCACCTTCAAAACTGCATGGTACAGCCACAATAATTTCATAAAGTATTTCTACGGTGACTGGAAGCTTATCTTGGCTCAACAATCACCGATACGAATAATTAGAAAACTTTTCAGACCTTGGCTTTCATGATAACTTATGCTGTGAAAAAAAATTATGGGAAGTGACTGATAATTGGGAAATGGATTTAAAAGAAATATTAAGCAATAAACCTCGTTGCTTTCACAGGCAAAGGTAGCTATGTAGTTGTTATCGTTCCGATTCCACGCTAATCTCAATAACGGCGTTCGCTGAGGATCCTCGTAAATTATCGTCGAATGTTCCAAATGCCGAAGATCAAACAAGCGGACACTACCATCAGCACCTGCACCAAAATTCAAAAATAAGGACTCGAATGAAGTAAATGCAAAGGTATGGTGATGTACAGATACATAAAAACGCTGATTAGGCAAAGTTTTTCTCTTCATCTGCAAACATAATAATAATATTGTTAGCATCAGCAGAAGAAAACTAGAAATAGATACCGGGTTTCCCAAAAACTATGGTTATTAATTACTCTGATCTTCAGACTTCAATTTGACTCTCTGATTGATTGGCGGCTTTGAACTTGGATTTTTACCCAAAAGCGGAACTTACACCCTTGTAGACAACGATAGGACTACGGTCCTAAGTAGATGGGTTACCTGCAGCTCACACATGAAGTCATTGATAGAAACTTTTAGAGAATTAAATGACCACCATATTCGTGCTTAGATTAAATTCCAAACGACAAGTCTGCATCACGCAACATCGAAATTTCAAAGGACATTTGCACTCAGAGGGAAAACGTACATTCAGAGGGTTGTCACATGAGCATGCACAATTTTTCTAATATCATGATAATTAGTTGTTGACTCGTTTACATGATGAAAAGCATGCGTTCTAGATCACGGATACCTTCACCTAAACGACTCGGAAAGTCAGTCTGTAAACTACCGATAGATTCACAGGCTTCATAAACAAAAAAAAAGAGAAGCGATTTAGGAAGACTCAGTAACGATCCCAAAAACTTTCTGAGAAGATTTTTGTACCTTATTGAAGATAGAATATTTCCACTGACCAACACTTGCAAACATATCCCGGCTTGCCCTGCTAAATGAAATATCGAACACTTCTTTGTCGTGGGCAATGAGCTGGGTGCGAACTGTGCCATCCACGGTAGCACGAGTAGAACCGATCGCCTGTCCTGTCTGAACAGACGTAAAATGCAAAAAGAAAGCGTGTAAAGAAAAAAAA